AATAATAATAGAAAATCTACCTTATTTTGAACAAAATAAGTAACTTGTTCACGTAATATAATATCGATATTTTGCATATCTTTAAAATCATTGAAAATTTTATTTTGTTAGAAATTTTATTTGTATTATTATTTTTTTTTCCAAAAATGCCATTTATCTTACTAGGTAAATATTCGTTTGTATGATAGTTTGCCATATTTATAAGCCCTTTGAAATCGTCATTCGTGTTTGAAGTCATAAATTTGGAATTCGATTCCATAATTTTTGAAATTAATGTTTGAACTCTTGTCACATCTAGGATATAAAACATTAAAATGAAATAGAATTATAAACTAAATATGTTTAATAATATTAGACTACTTTATTTTTTATTTCTATTCCTATTTTAATATGAAAATTTTTGATCTTTCAAATAAAATTAATTATATAAGCTGTTACCTTGTTCAAGTTTTCCAGCGTGTTGTTTGAGGTTGATAAAATGTTTTCTAATTTTATTAAGATTTGTTTCTAAAGGCGCGAATCTACCAAAAAAAATCAACAAAATATATATATATAAACGCGCAGATTAATACCCTTTATTATCAAAGTTTTAAATCTAATTTTATACACGCACTCTTTATCATGTTTCGTCTTTTTTATAGTTTCTGTCCCTGAACGAATTGATCTAATTTTAGAATCTAAATCTCGAACATGTTGTGCCAGAAGATCTAAAACAATATTATTATTATTGTATCTTGTTTTTTTTTTAGTAATTTTAGTTATCAATAAAAATCTTTAATAAAAGTACCAAAGTTTTCTCTTCCATCGTTTGCCAATGAAGTATATTTATCTTGTGGAAGATAATCAAACAATGTATAAGGACTGTTGTCGTTTGTTTCTATCCCTGCGTTTTTTATTATATCAGGATGGACCGTAATACGTTTGAGAAGCTCAAGATTTGATGGTAAACTAATCATTGATAATAGTAATAGATAGATATTATCAGCTATCTGTCTTTAAGTAGAATATACTAATTATATTAATTATA